CGATGGCGGCGCCTCACGGGGCCCCGCGCTCCCCGCAGGCATCGAGAACCTCCCGTGCGAGCTGCAGCGGAACTTCCAGCTCATGCGCGAGCTCGACCAGAGGACCGAAGGTGCGTGCCGGGATCCGGGGGGCTCCGGGGCTGGGGGCCGCCTCCGCCGAAACATCCATAAAACACTGCGGAATCAGCGTCACGTGCGGATATTGCGGCGCAAATATCCCCATTTCCCTTTTTTAAAAAAGAGAGGAAAACCACAGTCTTAAAGCCCCCTAGCTATGTTGGGGCTACCTCCTAAACGCTCGGGGAGGTAGAAGGAAAGCGCGTTCGCTGGAGGCAGCTCTCACGCGTGTGCCCGTGCGCCTGCAGACAAGAAGGCCGAGATCGACAGCCTGGCGGCGCAGTACGTGGAGGCGGTGAGGGGCATGCAGCCCCAGGAGCGCGTGGAGCACCTGCGGAAGATCCAGAGCGCCTACGGCAAGTGCAGGGAGTACAGCGACGACAAGGTGCAGCTGGCCATGCAGACCTACGAGATGGTGAGCGCCCGCGCGACCGGCAGCTTTCTATCGTTACTGTCGCCCTCTCAAAAACCAAAGCCCCAGGTCTTCCTCTTTTGCTACTTTAATTTATTTTGACAAGTCAGTTTTTGTTATGGTGAAGGGTTAAACGAGCGCTTCCAGTTTGCTCAGTCCTTTTTGGGGTGGTTACTCATCTTCAGTATAATAGTGCTAAGGTCTGTACCCAACCTCACCTTTCTTTTAACAAGGAAGCTGTTCTCTCATCCAGGGTGTTATGTAGGACTGGTTGCATTTTTGATGATTTTTGGTCAGGTTGCGGCCCAAACTTTTGAAGTCAACTTCAAAACTACCTTGTAGAGGACTTTTGGCCTTTTTTTATCCCTTCTCCAATTACTTTGGTTTGCAGGTGACTAGAGTATGGAGAACTGCCAGTTCCACCCTTCTGTTGAGCATTGGCTGCCAAAGTTCCCTCTGTGGAGGAAAGTTTCCTCTAGTGGGAGAAACTTCTCATTTCTAAAGCTGCAGCTTTCCACATCTGCTCCTGTGCCTGCGTTAATGCCTGTCGAGTGTCTTTCTCAGTGTATTCTATTCCATGGACACAAGGAGAGTGTAGAATCCTTTTGACTGACACTTAGTGTGTTTTATCCAGCTATCAGAGATGATTTGGTTTGTGAGTAAAGGCATCACATAAGGAGTTGCAATAATTTTTCTTGCTGTCAGAATACTGCAGAAAAACAAATTATGTTGCAGGATCGAGTAGCATTTCTTATTTTGTTCTTTAAATATGTAAAAATTACATCTGTATTCTGTAAGCCATACTGCAGCGTTGCAAGGTATTTGCTCACAGAGAAAGCAGAATTTCTTGTTAATATCTGTTTTCTGCATGTTTTGCTCTGCAAACTGTCAGAGTTGCTCTAACTCTTCTTTTTGCTACCCCCATCTCTTCCTGCATTTCTCTTTGCTTTGTTGGCAATGGGTCCTTTGCTGCCATTCCCCTTTTCCTCCCCCGTTTTTTTTTCTCTTTCCCTTTCTCCAGCCTAATTCCCTTTGTGTTTACCCTTTTTCCAGTGTGGTACCTCTTTTTGTACATGGCCCTGAGGTGTTTTGTTCCCATTCACACAGATAAGAGTTTTTAGGCCTTCCTGTTTGTTTTGTTCTGGTTTTGATTCCCTGTGTGGTGTCCTCTCCTGTGCAGGTAGATAAGCACATTCGGCGGCTGGACGCGGACCTGGCGCGCTTTGAAGCCGATCTCAAAGATAAGCTGGAAGTCAGTGATTTCGAGAGCCCTGGAGCACGAAGCCTGAAAAGTGTGTAAATTTGATTAGTTTGGTAGCCTTTTCCAGCACTGAGCACCTCTAAGCAGAGAGGCTAAGATATAAAGTACCTTTTGTTTTTGCAGGCGAGATATGTCCTGCTTTTTAAGACTCTTCACATGTTGGCAGTGTTGCCCTGGACACCCTGGTTGTTTTTATTAGACTTAGATATCTCTATATATAAAATATCTATTTAAAAAGTGTTTCTTACAATGTGGGTGTACTGAGTTGATTTATTTGTCAAAGGTGCAGACATAAAATGATACAGCACTCTGTCATACTGCTTGTAAGCTCACTGTGTTAACAGCACATACGTGAGCATATCAGAATCGGTGTTTGTATTCAATTCCATACGAAAGAGGAATTGTAGAGCAATTAAGAGTATTAATCAAGAGGAAAGCATTTTGGGGGTGTTCTTGGCATTTGCATAAGCTGAAGTGATGCTCCTTTTGCCCTCTGCAGAAGGACGAAGTCAGAAAGACAAAAGAGGCTCTCGAGGTCGGGGCAGACGAGCGTCGGAAGAAGATACACCAAAGAAAAAGAAACTTAAAGGAGGGTAAGAAACGAACGGTCTCAGCTCTGATGGCTTTGTGGAAAATGTCTTCAATGATTGCCCATGATCTTGAGTGGAAGGAAAAACAAATAGTTGGGAGGAGCCCCATGCAGAAATATTGGTGTTGTATTGTTATCCCTGAAATTTTAGAAAATTTCGGGGGTTACTTTTAAATAATTGTGTCCTGAATAGTCTTAAATAATCTAATGAAGTTTTCCTAAGCAACCGAGAAAGTGTGTCCCCTCTCTGTTACATGTTTTATGTTAGGATGACAATTTTTTTTTTCAGTTGGCTAAATGCAGAGGAAAGAAAGCTAAATTCAGCATTACCAGTATGCTAATTTCATACTCCCATGTCAGAGCAAGAGAGTTCACTCATACCTGAGTAAAAAAAAGTATAGGAAGAAAAAAAAAAAAGTTAAAACAGATTTGAAAATAAATCAGATTTGTCTGTCCACAAACAGAAAGGATGAGCATGTTAACTTTGTTACTGTTTAATATTATCTACGAATCCTTCTGTTCATCCTTTACCAGTAAAGATCAGATTTTATGTTTTGTTTTAATTGCAATCCCAGTAGGTCTGGATAATATGTGATAAGTAACCTCAGTTCTAAAATGAGTTCAGTTCTAGTGAGGATACTGTTTCAATAATTTTCTAAATGGGATTTAAACCGTGGAAACTCTTGTCTGTAACTGAAAGGTGCTTTATCCTCAACCTGTCCTTGCCTACAGATCTGAGTTTTCTGAAACCATCCTGTCGGTGCATCCCTCGGATGTCTTGGACATGCCAGTGGATCCCAATGAACCTACCTACTGCTTGTGTCACCAGGTGTCATATGGAGAAATGATTGGCTGTGACAACCCAGATGTAAGTGCTTGAGGCAATTGATTTTTCAAAGCACACACTGCCTCTTTTGAAAAGATTGCAGCCTCAGAGCTGTGAGATCAGAGGGAGATGCTTGCTCAGTGAAATTATCCAAAACAAGTGTAAATTTTGCAGAATGCTAAGCCATCTCTTCTGTTTTTCTTTTGTTTCCCTTCTGTTTCACAGTGCCCAATTGAATGGTTCCACTTTGCTTGTGTGGACCTCACAACCAAACCAAAGGGGAAATGGTAAGTAGGACCTTCCAACAGGAGGAAAAGGAAACCCGAGGCATACCTAAGTTTTCATGTTTAACAGAGCAGTTTTTGAGCTGATGATGAGCACAGATATGTACTTGCTGCTGTATTGCCACATAGTTGCAGCTGTGGTTAGAATGGAAAAGATCCAGCTTTTCCCCTCCCTCCCCCTTCATCTTGGAAAAATCACAGGCTTGCTCTGTACTTTCTTTTATATTTTTTAAGGGCACAAGTGCTGTGTAAATGTGCCTTGCACTTAAAATGCCACAGACTTCAATTTGAGCGCAAGCATCTGAGTTGCTGATCGCCACAGTCCAGTTCCTATTTGCCTAGTCTTCTTGCACATTGTTAAAACTGTTGCAATGAGTTATTTGGCCACTCTTATTCCATGCTCCCACCCCATTCCCAAATAAGAAAAAGAGCTTTTGGGCTAAGGGTTGTTTTTAACTCTGGAATTAATTACTGCTGTATTCTTTCCGTAGGTTTTGTCCACGTTGTGTTCAGGAGAGAAAGAAAAAGAAGTAAGGAGTATAGGGAATACGTCGTCTGAGGCAAGAAGAGTTTAACATATTTTTTCCTTCATGTTGCAATATTATCTTTGATTTTTCTTTAACCTACTTTCCTCCTTGTTCTGACCTGATATTTAATTGTCCTGTGGCAAGTTGTAATTCCTGTTCTTTCAGAAGGACTTTGAGAAGGGAAGGGAATTGCAACCATCATTTTATTTATGTTACACTTGCACAGCACCGAAATCGGTGTTACTCTGAAGTGCTAGGGCAGCCCATAGCTGTAATTTTTGCCAGTTTTATAGGAGTCTGTGAAAGAAGAACAAGACAGCTGTATGGTCAGTGTGGTCTGTCACTGTCACCAGAAGAGTGGAGGCCTGGAGCTTGGCGTGCTGGGATAGAAGGACTCTGCTCTAGCCATTTCCTGCGTGCAGGAAGCGTGCTCCGTTTTTCAGGCATGATGTGCCTTTGCAGCTCAGCTGTGGTAGTATTGAAAGGAATCAGAGAGCTGGTTTGCTCTTTCCAGGGTCTACTTCCTCGAAGCCAAATAAAATATTTAGTTTTAGGAAGGCATGGGGGAGGGATGTGTGTGCACATACGTGTGTGCATGCACACTAGAGAGAATCCTCTTTTGAGGAGTCACGTCCATCTACCTTTGCCTGCTCTTGGTTGACTCGATCATGCCCAAACACATTAAATGAAGAGCAGCAAGTCATTTCAGGTTTTTTTACCTCTTTCCAGAAAAGCTTTTTCTCTTCTGGAAGGGAAATGTTACAAATATTGAAGGAATTGTCCTGTTGAGATTCTTAGTGGCAGAAGGGGAGAGAAGGAGAAAGGGAGAGAGTGACTGACTGATCTGTCCTCGCTGTTTGTTAGTTCTCTGGAAATCTTTTTAAGTTAATTACTGTGAAGATGAAACCAAGAGTATTGCTATAGAGACAGAGGGTCTGACTAATTCATAAGTCTTCATATAAAATGAAGGCCTGTTTTTGTTTTGTTTTTGATACCTGCACCTCCTTAAATCAGGAAACAAAGTTTAGCAGAAGACTATTAAAGGAAGATGCATAGAGTTTTGTGATGGTGCGGCAAGGCTGGAAGGAGGTAATGTGGTAGTTGTGATTTTTGTTTTGTTTTTTTTTCTAATAGCATATGAGTCACTGCTGTTAAACAAAGTCATTGAGCAAAAAAAAAAAATGTGTTTAAATGACTTGTTTTTGGTGGAGGCATGCTTGCCTCTTTTTGACTTCTTTAAGCTGCTTTTCAGTTTATAAATGTGAATCCTTGCTATTGTCGCAGTGTCAGCTGCAGAGAGAGGGGAATCATGAATACAGAATTAAGTCTTTTTTTTTTTTTCCCTCCTTCTGAGTTATAGCAGATGCAGGAGTTGAGGGAAGACCAAAGATGGCTTGCCTTGATATATCCTGTATTTTGGAGCTTTGCTGCCCACAGTAGAAGCTGTTGTGAGGAGAGATGATCCTGCCAGAGGAGGGGAAAAGAAAAAACAACAGAAAACCCGAGTCTGTGGCAGTATGGACCAGGGTTCGTGAACTTTAACGGCTGTGACCCGTGATAAGTGTTCATGGCAGCTCTATGCCAGGCTTTGCACTAGTTTGCTTACCATTGTGCAGGAATAGACAGAGACTATTGGAAAGGCACTAGGAGGTTTCCAGATCAGCTTTTGTTCTGCTTTAAAAACAATCTGAGTGAACAATATAGAAGAAAAGAAAAACACTTCTAGTTGTTGGGTTTGGGGACCCATTTCCAAAAACAAAGCTGGTTTTTGTGCATTTTTTTAGTTTTTTTTTTGTGTGTGTGTGTGTTTGTGTTTTTCTTCTTGATGACCCTCATAGGAAAGGAAGTAGAACGCAGCTCTTCGAGTTTTCCTCTCTTGCTTTTGGTCTGTTATGCTTTGTATGTGCCACAGGTTATGTCAGGGCTGTCATAAAAGAAACCTTTGGCTGCTGATACAGGTTTTCTGCTATATCTGCTCTAGGAAAAAAAGTACTCTGCAGGTCCTGTCGTTTAACACGTGATGCTGTACAGGTCCCGATGATGTTGCCTCGCTCCACATGTTGTACATGAAGTTTCCGTAGTTGTGTTTACAACTTATGTCTGTTTGTCCTTGTGGAAGAGTGCAGCAAAAGCAAAAATAACCCACAGAGTAGAAGACAATTGCTGTGGTGCAAGGCGGGGGGGAAAGGAGAAGCACAGTCACACAAACCTGAACTTGGAAACGCAGTCAGCCCTCTCCCTGCAGCCCTAAGAAGGGACTCACGATACCTCACGGATCAGCCTTTAATTCAGTAATACCAGTGAGTAAGACCTGTACCTCGTTAACCTGCTACACTGGATTAGTGCAGGAGCATCAGCATCACTGTGTCCTGAGTGCTGTTTTGGATTTTATTTTCGCCATTCCATCCAATGACAGTCTATACATCTCCCTTTTTTTTTTTTTTTTCTTTAAGGCCTTCAGCAGTAGTGGTTAAGTGTTTATTTTTAAATAGAATGCTTTAAATCCATCTCCAAATTACCTTGTACCTCTCTGAAGGGGGCTGGAAACACAGTGCTGTGGAAATTCACAGCTACAGATGAGCGAGTGCAAAACGGGCTGCCCGAAGCTCAGAAAAGTTGGGCAGTTAGGACCGTAAAATATGTTTTTATTGTTTTTTGTGTTTCTCTGGTTAAAAATTAATACTCCGACAAAAGCCTCACAGTTTTTTACAGTGAAACGTCTCAAGTGCATCAGGTTGAACTGATTTGAGCAATAAACTTCTATGCAGAACTTACTGGCCCGTAGGCTCTGCTGGTTGGCATGGGCTCGGCAACGCTTGGTGGCCTTTTACAACCAGCTTGAGAGGGAGATTTCGGGCCCTATTTTAAACAGAAACACCGCTAGCCTTCACTTCCTTGCTCGCTAAAGGGTTGAACTCTTTCTCCTGCATTTTTGAATGTATGGCCTTTAAATATATTTTTCTGATGGAGAAGGGGGACCCAGACTGTGATGTGCGCGGAAAGGAGCCGCCAAGGATTGTCCCGGTGCCCCTGTGTGATCCTGGGCACGTTCAGCTTTATGGGGATCCTCCAAAACTTCCCGCCTGCTGCGTCCTCATTGTAAATGGAAAAAGATATAAATCTTTTTATTAAAAAAAGAATGTAAAGCTTGTTTTTTTTTAAGGAAAAAAGTATATCTGTATTTTTGGATGGCGCTCGCGGTTGTTGTTGACAATAAAGTATTTTCGCAAGCGGCCTGGTTGGTGTCTGCGCCTGCGCCGCGCGGCCTCCCGCCGCCAGGGGGCGCCGCGCGGCGGGC